GGAGGTGAGCCAAACTAGTTCACTGGCTTTTCAAACTTGGAGTTTGAGCTTACCTGGCTCATTTTTAAAAGCAGGTGCATTCAAAGTTACAATTCATGTGTGCATCAACTTTCAAAAGTGACTAACGGTACCTGGTGCACACGAGTGTCTGTCTTGCTGCAGGACATAGCCCTGGGCATTCACAGCGTGAGGAGCCCCAGATGTTGATGCATTTGTGTTGGCACAGCTGGCCTGCATACAGCTGACACTCATCTACATCCTCGCTGCTCCTGCACCACATTGGCAGCTTCATCTGTGGCACTGATGGAGAGGGCCTCCTTGGGGTACTTCCCTTCTGAAACTGGAAGGAGTGAGTCAGAGAAGGGAGGAGGAGGTAAGGAAGGAGGAGAGGAGGAGGAGAGTAAGGAGAATCTAGTCTCTGCTCACTCCTCTTCTTCCCTAAAAGGGGGCTCTGCTTCGTCAATTAACCATCTTTTTTTTTTTTTTTAGCTATCTTCTCTCAGTACCCCAACGTTTTTAAAAAAAAACAAAGTTATGAATAATAACAGCGTAATAGGAGTTTGCATGGATGGAAAAAACAAAATTTGGGGATGTGGTCACAGAAACCTGTTTGGAGTGAGCCAAACTAGTTCACTGGGCTTTTCAAACTTGGAGTTTGAGCTTACCTGGCTCATTTTTAAAAGCAGGTGCATTCAAAGTTACAATTCATGTGTGCATCAACTTTCAAAAGGTGACTAACGGTACCTGGTGCACACGAGTGTCTGTCTTGCTGCAGGACATAGCCCTGGTGGCATTCACAGCGGTAGGAGCCCCAGATGTTGATGCATTTGTGTTGGCACAGCTGGCCTGCATACAGCTGACACTCATCTACATCCTCGTGCTCCTGCACCACATTGGCAGCTTCATCTGTGGCACTGATGGAGAGGGCCTCCTTGGGGTACTTCCCTTCTGAAACTGGAAGGAGTGAGTCAGAGAAGGGAGTTGGGGGGGTGGGGGTCCTCAAAATAGAGACAGCACCAGATTGCCTGTATAATTTATCCCACATACTTACCTCATGAAAACAACATCTGCTCCTCCTTTACATTTACACTCAGAGTGTTTTAAGTGATGCTTTTATCCAGAGCTTCAATACCTAAATCAGCGTCATTACAAGAAACCACTAGTAACAAGTGCAAAGGTCAGAGCCTCACACATTTAAGGAACACTTGTGACCCCTGGTCATTACTGCAAGAGAAGAACTATACAAAATGCTAAGTATTTTTAGAAGCTATTAGATTAAGTAGAGAGAGACACATGAGGCACTTACTGAAAAAACTGTTTTTAGCCTACTGCATGTCCCATTGTCTCCATCACGGCTGTTCAGTTCCTTACTGAGAACAAGTTTTAACATGAATCAGTCAGGTACTGAACACTTTATTAAAATCGTATGTTGCTTTACCTCACATTACATATTTCATTTATGCTCACACTGAACAGTTTGATCACCTGGTCATGACTCACACTGAATGTACAGGTTTGCCCTTTCATGCTTTTGCCAACTGACAGATCCAAAGGTTTCATATAGACAAGATGGATGGGTCCTAAAGAGAGAAAGACAGCTTTACTTTGTACAACTGTTTGTTCGCCAAACCCCACAACAGAACAGCAATTGTCCTGTGATTGAATAGTTGAATAATTGAATAGTTTGCATGAGTTTCTAATACTTGAGACACACTGGAGCAAGACTCTGTATCTAAAGAATTGGAGGGTGGTGGTTTTGTTATTACCTTTCTAAAACCACATGGGAAATTTGTAAGGAAAGGACTAAACTCCATTTTTCAGCTCCAACATGCTGCAAATGCTAGCATGCCTGGCTAACTAGCTTAGGTGCTACAGTAGAAACCTACTTCAAAGGCAAGAGGCATGTCATAAGCAAACTGTATTATTATGTAAGGTTACAGATTATGTTAGAATACCACCTATTCAGGACTAGAACATCTATGTGGGAGCTAAAGTACTAGTATATCAGCTTGTAGAGAAATGATAGCAGCTCTGTCCTGCTCTTCATTTGATTTGGGGAAGTTAACAAACTTACATTAGTGTTGCTTTTACTGAACTGATTGGTTATTTTTTCTTTTGCTTTTGCTTTTTCTCTTATAAAAGGAAAGCATCCTGAAAATATAAATGTGATGTGGCCACAATTTTATGAGCATAAATACGTAACATATAAGTATTATATAAAACTACTCTATATCTGACCAGTGTGCTGCTTGTCCCAGTGTGTTTCAACAGTAAGCATCCAAATACTGTTACGTTTACAAAAACTGACATTTTAATTCTATTCTTATAAATAATACTGTGCCACAATACTAGGACTTTCAAGCTCTACACTGCAGCACACAAATGCTGCTGCTTTATTTTCCTGTCCTCTGTGGGTGTTTGAGCAGCTTTATCTTTTATCATAAAGTATATAGCCATGGCACATACCCTAAAAAATAGGGTTGGGAAGATAGGCACCATTATTATTTATCCATCACCACACAGTTACAGTCAAGACTGCATCAGCCACAAAATGTTAGAAAATGGGAAATCAGACTGAAGAACTACTGAAACTGTGAGTCAGCTGAGCCACACTGTTGACATGCCAGAAATCCAGCTGATCATCCAACAGCCAGATCATGGATAGTTTGGGCAAATAGTCAGGTGTCAAGCCTGGCCGCAAACTGAACGTCAAAACACAGCCAGTCTGGTGGAAATTAGCTGGGTGTGCCCAATTCCATGTTAAAATGTGGCTCAAAGGGAAATTTAGTATTGCACTTCCATGAAAGCAGATTAAAAGGAGAACAGTCAAAATGACTGCAGCAGAGGCTGAGATATCCTGATTTGTAGTCTCTAGTATGGGTCAAGCACCAAAAACACTGGATCCTACATTTCCCATAATACAAATGAATTGCATCTTTCATTAGAGGTTGCCCAACAGGCATGCCTACGGCTTTCAGGCTTTACAGAGCTTCTCTTATAAATCTGTAGTGTCTGAGCCCAAGAGTGAAGTAATGTTACTTATGTTATTCCCTCAGACTTGACAAAGCTCCCTCCAGAGCCACACAAGACATTATACAACTGTCTAGTAACCATGAATACATGACATTCCATGTATAAAAATGCTGGATTACCCCTAAGTAAGAACCTAAAGGCAAAAATAAAATAAAAAGTTTGGTGCTTTTGGGAATGCTGCCCATTCTATACCGAGTCAAAAACACTGTGCAAGAACAAGTCAATGTATCACAGACACCACTATACATCAAGACTTGAATGTAATATTAATGGGTCCAGTTATGGGTTTTCAGTAAATATTTCTCACAGTCATTACCTGGAATTTAAATTCACAGGAGCAAGGCGATTAAATGTTTCCTGTTTTAATTAAAAGGCAGTGAGTCATAAGACTCAAAACATATCCCCCATGGAAATAATTACAGTGCATCTCATCCATTTTTTCATCCAGAAAACACTCAGAAAGTAAAGGCATCCTTCATGCATGGAGTGTGTGTGCGAAAGCGAGTCAAACACACACGCTGACTGAGAGCTTGAACAGTTCTTGCAGCACCTAAACCTTTCACAGCTTTCAGCACGTTAATTGATTCCCACTTCAAAATGACATCATTCAAATTTCCCTTTTAAAGCTGAAGGAAATGAGCTGCAGTCAATGGTTAGAGCAGAGTCTATTAAAGGGTGGGATTAGGAGGAATTCCTCTGATGTCGTGAATGAAATAACAGACTATGGCAGCGAGGAGACTGACCTTACCTCACCATCATACTTGGATACAACTATTCCCATTAAAGCACAACCACAAGGGCTGGTCCCAATATACAAACTGAAAAGTGAACAAAGGCCTACTACAAATCAATGATTATGGGGTGATTCTTGTGCTTTTCTACGAGGGATTTAATGCTCTTATTTCACAGAAGCGTACAAACAATCTAAAACACTAACAAACAGTGTCATATTGTAATCTTTTTAAAGTCTTATTTCACCCACACCTCTGATGTCATTGATGAAAAACATGCAAAGCTGTTGTCATGAAGCTTACAGCTGCAAACAAGATATATAGGTCACATTCAGAGGCCACTGTGCTGAACAGATGAGATGTTCTAACCTTTTTTCTGCAGATATAAGGAGATACAAATGAGTATTTGAATGCATTTGTATGAGGCATGTTTATCCCCAACCTCAGCTGCTTGAAAATTCATCAATGCAAATGTCAGTGGCATTATGTACTTGATGGATCAGAGACAGAGGAAAACTTTGCTGGCACAAGTAGAGAGACAACAGCCTGAGCTGCCATCTGTTCCTGATTTATCACAGCTTGCATACATCTTTCCCCATTACTCTGAATGGTAACGTGACTCCTGACCAATCAACCAGGAGCATCTGTCTTTTGGAAGATCAAACTCAGCCCAAACTCCACCTCTGACATAGACTTCAATGAGGACAAAATAGCGATGGGTCAACCCAGGACTGATCCAGACATCAGTGCAGTGCAAAGTTTGTTGAAGCTAGTGACAGTAGCCAAAAATATATTTGACGGCAGATATGATGAGGAAGCAGAATTTGAAGTTCAAGTTGCTGCGGAATGTGAAAAAGAAGTTCTCAAAGGACCTTTAACTAGGGACGAAATCAACAAGAACATGGTGTGTAGCCATGTGTGTGCAGCGGGCTAGTTAGCTAGCATTTCACTAGCACTTCAGTCATTGTGTATTGGAGCTGAAGTGAAAGTGAAACTTATCTCTGCTAGCATAACACAACAAGATCTCCAACTGAGCAGTTGGAGGTTGAGTTGCATTGTGGGTCATATACAGTAGGTGCCAGGCTTTGACGAGGAGGAAGAATGTGTGGGTTTAAAAGATGATACTTGGTTCTGCTGCACTGATATACAATGATTTTGCTCCTTTTTCAACTGTCCATTGTGAATCTGAGTTTACTTTAGCAGCACAATGCTACATCAGTAGAGTGCTCTTTTAATAGCAGTGGAATAGTATGACTAGTTTGGAGACATCTGTGTTATGTCCCAGTTCCAGACTAATTCAATTCTAAGGAGGGTTTGTAGTGCATTCACACTGAACAACTGACAAAATTCGGTACACTCAAAATATCTATTATCCCTCTACGCAATGCATAAAGGAAATGGAGCTGCATTCACAGCTGCAAAACATTAACCAAATTGTTACCAATTGAGGTAAAGCAGCTTGAGAAAGACCTTGAAAAACAAAGTGTTACATCTTTTCCTTTTTCTTATTTTTTAAGGATTTTTTTCACTTTTTAAAGAAGAGTTTGACATCACTTTGGCATCAATTAAGAACATGTCAGTCAGCTTTTGGTCAGACTTGATTGTGACCTGTTTCAGCACTGATAACATCACAAGATCAAGATCTCCATAAACTGCAAGACCACAGTGCATGATGGGAAATACCTGGCTTCCCTTGAACTAAGACACAAAGCTTTTAGTCATATCATATGATCTTCACGGATAGATAAAGTTTGCCATAGATTTGTAGGTGTTCACGTTCGTTTCCTGTTTTTTTTTGCACTTTAAAAACCTCTCATCCATGAGTCTGAAAAGTTGACATTGTTTTCATGACGACTGGGCAAAATCTATGAAGTCAGGAAGATCACATGATATGATATATAGTTTTAGGGCACCCGGTAAATGGACCTTGAGTTTTGTAAACTATATTTTTGTTGTGTTAGCAAATGTGCTAGGCTCATTAGCTTCCTCTTTACTTACGTCTCGCCTTTTTCTTAAAGTAGATCTGGTTCCAAGAAGCTTAACTTAAATCCCAACACTACCAATGTGCGTGATGAATGTGTTTTCCATGTTGAAAGCTCCGTGATGTGAAAAATTGCTGTGCAGAGGATAACAGATACCTCTTCTCGGCACAGCAGTTGGTCTGGGTTTCTGCTTTCTCTTCAGTGGGATCTGGCTCGGACCTTCCTCTTCCTTGCAGCAGGTGAAGAAGACGTGAGCACACGGGTCGCCCAGGTACTGGTGGCCATCGCAGTCCCATCCTTCACCGCGCATCCGTAAACCGAGGGCACAGCAGCTGCAGCACACCTGGCCATCCAGACACAACAGCAGAGCATATTAGGAGTGAGTCACTGGGGTGCTACACACATCTCTAATCACCACCTCTCTTTATGACCCTCCAGTTTTAGCCCTGTTTAGTAAACAGCAGAAGAGGGGGAAACATAACAGCAACACAGGCGGGCAGGTCGGTTCATCCCTGTGAACACACTGCAAAGGATTTCAGCTGCAGGCTCAAGCTGAACCACATGTCATGCAAAGAAAACCAGACTTTCACCTTTTTTCACTTTCCTCTAACAATGACCTGGCACAATGATTTGGCTCGGCTGCCTTAACACATGAACATTTGGCTGGAGGGCTAAACCACCGGGTTTCCTCTTGGAGAAACAGGGAATGCTATTTGACCTGACTCTGAGCAAAGGCACAAGTCCAATTTCCACATGAAGTATTCATAGGTCTGAAGGATGCAAACAGAAATGGGAGATTTTGGCAGTTCGCTTCTGATAGATTTCAACCTATTTGCCAATAAACACAAATAAACTGTCTGACCTTTATGAAAGCCTCTGCGCTGGCATAGGTATCTGAAATTGAAATCTCACTCTGGCAAAAACAATCATGCATTCCAGGAGATGTTCAATCTGTTTAAAGTCTAAATTACACTGGCAAAGTCAGTTCTCACCATGTTATTGTGGCAGTTCTAAAGGATTCACAGCACTGGACCTCTGCTGATGGGTGGAACTGTCCATTCTCACTGTCTTGAACCATTTGAAACAATGAGTCACAGTCAACCTGTCTCAATAACAGTTCATTTTCTGTTCTAGAGGTAAATGTAACAACCTTTAATCAGTTCAGTGTTTGTTTTATAGAGAACTTGGTGGGTAGGAAATGTGGGCGTCATCCATCCATGATGTAATGTGTTTCAGTCATGACTCAACCATCTTTGTCTTATTTCTTCCCTGCCACTCTCCACTGCGTGCTGTCTAATAAAGCAAATCTATGGCAGATGCCTCAACTTTTGAAAAACAACTCTGCTGGAAGAGTTCTCATGGTGGTGAGACAGTAATGTACCTGGTAGGAGTCATCTGTGCACTGATCCTCCTGATCCACTTCACAGGCGTCCCCTCTTCTGGCTGAAGTCATACCTGACTCACACTGGCTCTCTTTCAGTGAGCTGAGGCAGCAGTGCTTCTGTACAGCACTTGAGAACAACAAACACACACACACACACACACACACACACACACACACACACACACACACACACACACACACACATAAAGATACTGTATTCGTGGGGATCCATCATTGACATAATGCACTCCCTTGCCCCTTACCCTCACTTTGACCATCACAACTGAATGTCTAACCCTAGTCTTAAGCCTCAATACCCATTTGGTAAAATAGCAGAAGAGTTGAGGGATTTTTAGTTCTAGGCTGGTTCATTTAAACTCAAAACAAGACTAGGTCAAAACCCAGCCTTCGTCTGAGCTGTGTATGGTCGATGTGGGAAATTGAGGAAATAGATGAAAACTGTTGTGGAACTGCTGTAAACAACTACTTTTGATAAGTACCAAAAGCTTGAAAGGTTGTTTTTTTTTAAAATAATATTTGCATTCAGCCTAGTGTCAGCAGGTTTCAGCTCTTCATCTGTTCTCTTCTCCTCTCTGCACTCACACATACAGTATTTCAATACAGCCGAATTCACGATAAAGCTGTTCTCATTGACATGTTTTTCTATTCCTGTTGTCAGACAATGGAACACGTTTGAAATAGTGACTGAACGTGGCCCAGTGACGCGGTGCATTAAGATGACATGTTAACCTGCGGTCACTTCTAAGCTGCTGCTCTGCACTGTGGAGGGAAAACCTGATTTTGTGCTTGTGGGGCAAAACTGATGATTCTCTTCTATGGAAAGTAGCAAAGATTTGTCTAAAAAAGTCACGAGATTTGTCAGTAGATGCTTTTTTGAAAAGAGTTGCTCAAGGGTTCAGAAAAGTCAGTAATTCTAGGGACAGAGGCACTAAGTTGGCAACACTGCCTGTAAATGCTAAAATCCTTCATCCGGTTAAAACAACCAAGATCTAAAAAGTGTATCATAAAAATGTGACACTTACTGTATGTGTATGTATCACTATCATTATCATCAGTATAACAACCAGTTTAACACTATATACAGCTTTCCCTGAAGTCTCATGCCAAAACTAACTCATTCTTCTCTCAAATTTTACAAAGCTAACTGTCTAACATGCTGAGAAATGCTCCCCATGACAAGTTAACTAATCGTCATGTGTATAATTGGGGGGATGGCCCTTTAATCTCATGTTAATCTGTATTCCACTGAAAAAGTAAAGAGGTCTAGAACTTGTGCTAACAGCTGGAATAGGGGATGTTTTGGTCCACCCACTGATGTTTCATCCAATCAATGAATTGATTTCTCCAAAGCAGTTTCCAGTAACGTTTGTATAACTAAAACTATGTTCTGATGCTTCAGGCCACATCACTTACCTGCATATGGAGTGATTGTCACTGCTCAGTAGAGGCATGTGGTTGCAGTGGAGGTTTTCAGTGGCCAATCTCTGGCCAGCAGCACAGCACCTCTGCAGCAGGTCTTCAGCAGAGACACCTGGACCTGCAGCCCAGCCCAGAGACAAACAGACAAACACAAGACTGATGGAATAAAAACAGTTCTGCAGTAAATCCTCTGGGTCTTCACAGCTACACTATATGAAACAGACAGAGGCCTGGGCAGTGCAGTGACTGCAGTAAGCAGTCAGACAGACACATATGGTAGACTGCACCAGGCCTCAAAGGCGCCTTTAAGATTTCTACAGCTGAATAAAGAGGTACAGTCCAGTTACCAGAATACAGTAGCCCATTTTATGATTGGAAACTTTACTCAGGTCAATGGAAAGCTACAGTTTATTCTATAAATAGTTTTCAGAAGTAGAATGGCAGTCCTCTGGTAGGGTTCTGAGCAAGAACATTACATTTAAATTTACTCATTTTGACAGACACTTTTATTCAAAGCAACTTACAAGTCACAAACATCACTAAAGCTTGGAAACCATGGTGTAAGTGCTAAGTAATAAATCTATTCAATAAGGCAAAGTGCAACAGATCAGAAGAGGTTCACCAAAAGTGCATAATAAGTCCTAGTTGGGCATGTTAGGGTGTTTGAGGTGTTCGCAGTGGAGGAGCTCTTGGTAGAGATGAGTCTTCAAGAGATTCTTGAAGATAGAGATGGACAACGCTGCTCTAATAGCATTCTGTAGCTTGTTCCACCATTGGGAGCCACAGACCAGAACAGTCTGGAGAAGGAGCATAAGGCTGTATGAATGAGTTCAAGTAGATGGTGCAGACCCAGAAGCCACTCAGTGGGAAGGCAATAGTGACTTGAATTTGGTATGGGCAGCCATAGGTCGATGACTAACCAGGTGACATGTGACCTTTTAGGCTGATCGAAGACAAGACGGCTGCTGCATTCTGGACCATCTATAAGGGTTTCACTGAGCGTGAAGGGAGGCCCGCCAGAAAGGCACTGCAGTATTCAAGGCAAGAGATAACCATGGCCTGGACCAAGAACTGGGCGGTGTACTGGATCTGGTATATCTTATGTCGTATAATGCAAAGTGGCTCGACTGGTAGATGGATGCAACATGGTCAGAGAAGAAAGAAGAAGTGTGACAGATTGACAAAGAGTCAGCGTTTATGTACATCGCTAGTAGTCTGGCAGTTGAAGCACCTCCAAGGTTTGGAAGAACCTGAAACTCACCTGGTTTTAACTGGTTTCGACTATTTTAAAAAATGTCTGGTTCTTCTCAAAAAAACAGATATTTCATGTCAGTATTTATTAACATGATCACAATGACAATGCTAACAGGCTGATGTTTAGCAGTTAATGTTAAACATCATCATCAGCATGTTAATGCAGCTAGCTTTTTCTGAATAGCACTAAACACAATGTACAGCTGAGGCTAACAGGAATGTCATTCGTTTAGCTCTATCTACATGAACCAAAGTGTGCATGTAGAAATTTTGACCTGATGATGGTAAATGAAAAAAATAATCATCGGATCACCAAAATTCTTACCAATTACTACAAGTTTCCAGGCAATCCATCCAATTGTTGTCAAAACATAAAATGACACTAGATAAAAGGACAGGGGATCAACAAAGTCAGTGGGAATCCTTGTACTAAATCTAATTGCAATCCTTCCAGTAGATGCTGAGATATTTCAGTCTGGACAAAACTGAACTGACCAACATTACAGTCCCCAGAGTCTCTGTTGGCATGGCTAAAAATACAAAGGTAGAAAAACCTGTGTACACATACATACACATCAAAGTATATAGTGAAGTCATCCACAATTTCCACAGAGCATTTTGGTATGAAACATCCTTCACTCACTTATATGTCACAGTATGCCACTAACAGCAGGTGGAAGCTTACACTTGATAAAACCTCATAAAACTTCAACTGCCTGCATTCACTTGCTACTTTGTTAAATACTCATGTACAATATAATGTATTCCAGTACAAAAGCTCACCCACGAGTTCCGCTTTTATCAAGATTATATATTTTCAGTTTTTGTTGACAGATTTTGATAATTCTGCTCTGTTTATACTGAGAGTAGAGGGTATTGTGGGTGGTGGTGTAATATATTGGCCACAAAATTGATTGATGATTGATTTTTCAGAAACAAGGCAAAAAAACTAAAATAAAGGGCCATAACATGACATTTTTATGGGGGTAAAATACTATGTAATGCAGAGGCTTTATTCATCCACACAAGGTTGATTATGCATCACTATGAAAGTAATGCTGAATGGTTAATGAAGCTGACATAAGATAGCTTTATACATGGCTCTGTGAATTAAATCAGTTGTCATTATTAAATGGCCATTAAAGTCATTCAGTGAAAGAATACCAAAATAAATTCCAGTAATGGCTCCTCTTCAAAACCATCTCCATTCTGCCATCCTCTTATTCAGAGGGAAAATGGGATCGTTTCAATGTCATCAACTGGGAGAAAAGAACATAAAACATGTGTTAAACCAGGGACCCATTAAATCCCCATAACTGAATGAATGCATTTCATATTTCTAAATCTCACATTTCTGCTGATGCTTTAAAAAAAAAAAAAAAATCTTCCTTTCTTCCAATTAGGCAATTGGAAGCAAACCTTGCCTACGTCGAGAACAGCCGTCACAGCAATCACTGACATTCTTCGCTACTCTGCTGGTCCCACAGAGCCTGAAATGGCCCCCCACTGCAGAGTGAGTAACAGCAAGCCTGGATGCTTTGCATGGGTCTCAGCTGGTGGAAGAACACACTGTGAGGCAAGCTGCTGCTGCTGCTGCCGCTTGGCACTATAGAGCGCCGAGAGCTCGTCAGCTTCCCCATTGCCTCCATGTCAGACTCTAAGCCGTCTCACTCTGCTGCTTTTATCCACATATTAGCATGAACGCTCAACCACACACACACAAACACACACTAAAATTCACTCCGTGCCCTTTGAAGAAAAGCCACTGACAAAGAGCTTTTGTTTTTCTCAACTCAATAAACCTTCACTGGCTTATATACAGTACAGAACATTTGCATATTCTTCATATTCTTCTACTGTGAAATTAAGTTTTGTTTTATAACTCTGAAGACATGAGCCTAATATATGTACTAAAAAACAAAAACAAAATTTCAATAAATCAAGTCACTGTGTTCTGATGCATTAGAGCATCCAGTATTGAATACACTTGTACAATACATTTACATAGCAGAGTTCATTACACTTCACTGTGTGACTTCCTCTTGAATTATGAAGCTTATTGCTTGTAATTAAAAACAGCTACATCAGAGAATTTGCTCCACATGTTGTCAAATAAAGTACTGTGATCAGATGTGATAATTTCCTACCTGCATTATTTCCTTGATGTAATATCCATTATATTCTCCTCAAAAGTGTAGTATGTCTAACTTTGCTGATCCCACACTGCACAGTGTCCATTCAGATTAAAAAAAAGAACAGTTGAGCCATGCAAGTCTTAAATAGCTCTACTTTGAGTTTCTCTTTATTTCAGCTGGTTGCTTTCAGTTTCAGCCCTGACTCCCTTAAAGCTGAGCAAACAATCATTTAAAGAAAAGGCTGTCTGCTACTTACTGTACATAATTTATAAGGACTTCCTTCAGAAAATAGTAGCACATTGAGAGAAGAAATATTTCACCCCAAAACATAAGTCTAAAATATTAGTATCGTAGAGTCCATGTCCTTGTTGAGAACGTACTTTAAAAAGACTTGAAACTTGAACACAGTAATGTCTGAAGCTGATTTATCATTGTTTTGATGGTCTCAATGCAATCAGCAAGATCCGTTTTTAAGGAATAAGGTGGGGTGTAAGGTATGTTACCTTTTGTTATCAAAGCAGCTCTGAAGACAGACGAATAAATACATCAGGAGGAAATGACTGTTCACAAAAGTACTGGCTCACCTCTCACATGACTAAATGTTTTCCAGAAGTAAAACCACCATCCCCGTCTGATTATGTGCAAAGGAAACTGTGGGGCTTTATTTGAAGTCACACTGACACTAAATGAGAAAGTTCGAAGCAGTGTAATTTCCCGCTGTTATGTGAAGTATGTTCCAGGAGTGCTTGCCAAAAGGCCAAACATGAGGTTCAACCAGAGGGTGAGATGCAGCTTAACACTCAGGAGTAGCATGCCAGTTACCTGGGAAACAATGGAAACAAGCAGATATATTTATATCTCATAAACCACACTTTTGTCAATAGCTATTGTTCAAAGAGTCAACATGGTTGCTGGGATGGCAGCACTGCCTCCAAACTGGGCTGCTCTGTAGCAGATAAACTAAAAATAAGAGACATCCACCCACTTAGGGAACTCCCATGGGGTTTGTCTGGACTGATTAGCCTGGCCTCACACTGCTTTCCCATCATTACTCTGTCTGGCCAAACACAGACCTGTCTCACACCACACTGAGACACATCAGACATATATGCGCCGCCTGGGAATGTATGACAACATCCAGGCACCAACTGCAGCAGGTGACATAATTAATGTTTGCAGCCAGTAATGGCTCTGTAGTATGGATGACTTAGGTATTAATGAGGTGACAATATAGTGACAATATACTGGCTGGTGTCCAGGTACATCAACCAATTAGTTTTGACCACTACTGACATGATTGATGTTCTTCTCTAAGTAAACTTACATAAAAATAGAAAGTTAAAACTGAAGTGACATGTTGTCATATTTGCAAAATTTATTTTAAATATTTATTCAGTATTCAATGAATTCTTCATTTAAAGACAGTAATGTGTTCCAGAGTTTCCCTGCCATTAAAAAGATGAATTTGATAGGCCTTAAAGCTGTACTCATCAATATTTTTTATATTAACTATGGATCAAATGACAATGTGTAATATCAAAGGAGCTGTTTGTAGAGACAAACCCACAGAGAATTGTCACCCAACTGTACATTCACCCTCAGCTCTATGTAGCATTTTAGCGCCATTAGCTTGTTCCAGTTGTCCAGTCCATGAATTTGGTTCTCATTTTCGACAGCAGTAGGTTCATGTTTCCAGATGAAAAGCTTTAATAAACCCACTGTAAGCTGTCTGTCCAGCAACAAATGACTAAGTTAGCGAATAGCTGGTGGACATAGAAAATCTTGCACAACTCCACATGAATGTTAATGTTACTCACATAAAGGCCCTGACAACAGTCACACATATTTTCATTTTGTCAAAGTGTTTCACTCTGAAACCAATTAATAATACTTTTAAAACGGCGAAGAACAAACTGTAAACATAACACTGACATATTATCACCTTATAAAGATATCTGTCAACCATTTGGTGTATAGTGTGCTTTTGCTGAAAACGATTGTTTGCTGTGGCTAGACAGATGGTTGATGAGATAAGTGAGAATGAACCAGCAGAGCATAGTTTCAAGTATCTACAACCAAGTTCAGTTGCCCTTGATTGAACTTTTATCGGAGAGTACAGTAGTAGGCCTTAAAAAAATCTGAACAATGAGCTGAAAATGCTACTTAGAGCTGAGGAAAACTGCAGAGTTGCAAAATAATGTTCTGTGCATTTGTCACTATGTCACTATGAGTGACCTTTTACATTACACATAGTCATTCCTTCCCTTCTTAATATATGAATATTGATTAGGGTAGCTTTAAAGAGCTGCAAATCCTACTTAAAAAAAAAATCATGAAAAAAATCCATGTCAGTTTTAATACCCCATGCTTTAGGTGTTTAAAAAATTCTGTGGACTTTGTTAACTATAAAACTCTAGGGGAAATGGGAAACTTTTAATAGTGGCACAAACAATTTGCATTGGCAACTTTAATCCAAAAAATCCATATAACCATTAAAACCTATGGTTCAAATGCATGGAATGGAATAAGCACGGAGAAATAGAGATATACAGTGGGGCTGAATTGCAAAGATACCAGCTGGACCAAGACAAAACAACACTGCCTCCAACACATTTTTTGGGAAGAACGAGTCCCTACCTTCCTGTTGAACTTTCACAGACGTGAAACATGATGGATTCTACCTTTCCTGCCCGAATGCTTTCTGTTTGGATGTGCTTATTTGTGCAGCCAGTATGAATGGACTGATGAGACACTCAGGCCATTCAGGGAGTGTCGTTTTTACGATGTAATAATACGAGCGGGCCAGAGCGGGTAATGGTTCAGAACAATACAAGGATGCTAACTGCCTCAGCTCCCACTGCTCTGGCACAGTCACAAGCTTTTCTCACCCTGACACACATAGTAACAGTCATTTATCAATATGCCTCCAAAACAAATAAACCAGGCAGAGCAGAAGTGACTTACTCCCTCTCCAGGACAATATGAGCAGACTGTCAAAATTATACAGTACACGTAATACAGCAGATTGGCAGGAATATCGTTCAACATTCAGAGGCATATTAAAGGACCAGTGTGAAGGATTTAAGGCAATCTAATCACTTGGTTGCAATTGGCAACTTCACCACTAGATGCCACTAAATCCTATAAACTGGTTCTTTAAGTCACTGAAATACAGGGTTCTAGTAAAGGAAAGAGAACGGTTTCAACGTGTTGTTACTTCGACCTGTTTAATCCAGTATGACCATGGAGGGAGTTCTGGAGACGTAAGGAATAGCTTCAATTCTTGTCACATATGGGAAAAGAAGAAAATTAAAGTTGCATGAACTTCATCAGTGTATCAACCCCTACCTTGTACTTTGGTTCTGTCCTCTGTCTTTGTCATGTAATGCTTGTCTGTATATGTTCTGCTATGTCTCTCACTTGCTTAGTTTTTTCTGGATTCACCAACATACGTGGCACCAGGCTCACTGGCTTAAGCCCAAATGTTGCATCGCTCTTCTGTTCATCATGCTTGACATTTGTTGAACTAAATCCAGATTTTCATAGGTCAGGATGTGTTTTAAATGGAGTGGTCAGAGCGAAGTGCTGATGGAATGGAAAACATAGCCCCCTCCCGTCCCCTGTGTGATCTTTTTTGCTCAGCCCATTACAGATATTGGGAGCACCAGCAGCGTTGCCAGATTGGATGATTTTCCACCCAATTGAGCTACTTTTTACTTATTTTGTACCACTTGGGTGGTTTCCATCAATGAAAAGTTAGGCTATATTCCAATGAACCAGCACCTCCTCTCGTCCTAGTATGAATGAGACAAATGATGATCATCAGAACCAAATGTCACTTCAATTTATATTATATCAACTACATTGATTCTTTTTTCCAATTCCCATCATCATTCTGTCAAAGCTTTATGCTAAAAGGCTTGTCAAAGTGTAAAACTCTTTCCTAAATGAAAAATAACGCTCCGTCTGGGACTGTCAGTCCATGTGTAAATGAAGAAAGTGAAGGAAAGTACAATGTCTCAGAACTAAGTTGTAAAAGCTTTAACATTAAAGCTTTAATGAGTCTATGGCACCTTGGTAAATTAGTAACTTCACCATTGTATTATAGTTTGGCAGGGTATTTTGAGTGTGTGAAAGCAAGTCCTGGACATAATGATATAGTGATGATACAGAAGTGTCAGTGTTTTCCTGCCTGACTCTCTCCTCCACTGGATCCCAAACAATGAGTGCTGGTGGATGTTAAACCCACAGGTATGCATTAATACAAAACATTAGTGGCAAGAGTGGCTGAAATATTTGTTCAAAACTGGATGAATGCAAAATAAAGATTTGTAGATGCTGATTTGAAAGTGTGCCTGACTTGGCTTATTGAATTGATTGTCCATAAGGTACACCACCTAAACAGAAATAAAGTATCAACTCAATCAGATTACAGGCTAGAAGTTTCTTGTATACTGTAAATACCTGCATTTTATTTATTAACTGTCTGTTTGTTAGTATTATTA